CGCGCGCGTGTGTGTGTGTGTGTGTGTGTGTATAGTATATATATATATATATATATATATATATATATATATATATACGCACATCCCGCAATGAAAGCGAATGTTACAACATTTTGAAATGATTGGTAGGTATGCCAATGTCCCTCCTGTTACGCAATTGCGTGAGTGAATTGACTGTAATATTATTGTTATGGGAATTAGGACACGCAGTACATTAACGCGATATGTATCCAATTATACCACTGTACACATTAGATATTGTTTCATCAAAATTCATCGTGTTATACCGCGATGTTATTCTGATGACAAAAATTTTAAAAAGTTTGCAATTTTGTTGTTGAATTTAGAAAAAGATATTTAATTTAAATCAAGTTAATTAAATTAATACAATTTTAAATTGAACGTAAGCGCTTATATATAAAAATGAAACGTACAACATATGATTCAAATTCCCATAGATAGATATTATACAATAATTTATTTAAGATATTATTACATTTATCGTTTGCTCCCTTTCGCATAAAGTTTTAATATTAAGACTAATTCGATATATGAAACGTAGAGGAACGTTAGCTGATCCAATATTCCTATTGGAGTCGCCATGTTTGCAGTAGATCAAATATATCCGAATATTATGTTTACGAAATACAGAATTAAATGGACGGAGATGCACTCGGTTGGAATAGGCTAATCCGTTGTAACTTCCGGGCAACATATATTACTTTTGACCGTTACAACGGGGAGATTGCCATGCATATTAAACTGGTATCTATCACTTTACGATTGCAATATCATGGTAACTAATTTTTTGTCGATAGCCTCGCTCCATTTTCATCGTGTTTCGCGCGTCGTCATTTTTACGTAATTTCGTTCCGTGAAAAGTAATCTCTCTGCCCCACGTTATCCCGATGTTGTCCTTCTAATTTTACGATCGCGCGCGGCATAATTAAAATTTCTTTAACGTATAGGCGATACTTTCCATAAAACAAATGCTCATTTTATTCGACACTTTACCGATTACGCAAGATATTAAGGTCTGAGTTTTCTCTCTCGTTAATCTTTTACTGATAACGACGCTTCAAAATCCATGCCGTCGAAATGTAAAATGATCCAGAGAATATCTTTTCTTTATGAGCCTTATGAGGTAGAATTTGCAATCAATTCTTTTCAAAGAGAAAGTTTAATCGAATATTATTTTGCACGCTGCAAAATGAGACCTTTCGAGCAGGATATAGCAGATTTTCAATGAGGCAGGTGAAGCTTTACAATTTCATTATTTTTTTACGCATTTGATAAATATGCCGTCACGCGTTTCTCTTTGTATCGCAAAGCCCGTTGTATCTCAACAGCCCTTGTTAGCGTAGATACATCAGCTCGCATTTTTTGTTTTGCCCATGCTGCGCGAATGTTGCTCTTCCCGATTCGTCACGGATTTCAGGGCTACGGCAATAATCTCGTATCACCAATAAGTCTCTCCAGGCATACGCCGAGCGTATCCAACGCCGGTTATTCGGCTGGGCCATATTTATTGAATTTGGGCTCGGGGGTCCGTGGGGTGCGCATCCGGGGCGCGTATGGCTCTCTCGAGAAGTAAAAAATAAACACCGAGAAGAGACTCGCTCGATGCCGCCGTCCCTTCTTGCCTATTCCGTCCCCTCCGGTATCCCTTTCTCCCTTCCCCTCCCCGCCCCTCGCATCCTGTGCTGTCTCTCCTCGGAATGATCCCGGGGTTAGGCCGTACTCTCGGGATTCACCCCTTAATTCGAAGCGGCGAAGCGTTGCCCCGGAGTCCCGGTATCGCGGAGGCCGCGTAGCCGAAATCAAAAACGTCGGAGGGTAAAACCACCCTCTAAAATCGTTTCGAATCGATAAAGGACGCTACGCTAGTGTTTCGCGCGTTCCGCGATCTGGATTCTCGCGTGGCACGAGGGAGGGGGGGGGGAAGGAGGGGGATTGCGCCGCGACGAAAAATGTAATCGGATTTAATTGGATCGGCGATCGCGAAGGAGAGCGCCCTTGTTTATTTTCAAGAGACACGATGCTTGACGCAGGCAGGAGAGAGAGAGAGAGAGAGAGAGAGAGAGAGAGAGAGAGAGAGAGAGAGAGAGA